TCTAAAAATATGTTAAGTAGGACATATATTATGTAAAATATGAGTGCAAAGAATTTAGATAAGTTAATGAATATATGCAATTCATGTCTAAAGTACAACAACTTATAGCATTTTAACAGTAAGTTCATAAATATTGATCTTAACAATAAGCCATCTTCCCCTCTATGTTAATAAATTTGGGTTAGGCCTAGCTAATGAATTAGATTACTCTATTGAAGCTCAGAATGCATCCAAATACCTAGGGGTGTTCAAATGGTTAGCATGTTAATTAGCAAACCAAATAAGGCTAAATTCTATTAACCATGGAATACAATATCATAACCAAACCGTCTAAACTAATACAACAACCAAATTAACCAAACTAAAGTTTAATCGGTTTGATTAATTGGTTAACCAAAATAACCAATATACCATTACATTATTATTAAGTGAGAAAATTTTCCGGTTAGGCAATCAATTCACAATTAATATAACGAATAACACATAACAATCAACACAAATTTATAGTTAATCCTTAATATAAATACATGTAACTAATATAATTATCTTACATTTGAATCTTGAGTGGTTACGCAAAGTATTAAGTATGTATATATAATATATTAGATATATAGCTAATTATTTAACTAGTTAATTGGATTTGATCAGTTATCAATGTCTGAAACCAAACCACCTAAAACAAACAAGTTAAAACTTTAACCAAACCAAACCAATTATCCAAATTAACCAAACAAAATTATCCAAATACTACCAGTTAAAATGATTACCACGATAAACACACCATGTGAACATCCCTACAAATACCTGGTATGTATCTTTTAATCTCAAATGTATCATATTGTTAGTGATATACATATGCCTATGGTGACTTGCAAGTCACTATAACTTGGAGAAAGCGGTCAACCTCTTCCATTAAGTGGTTGACTAATTTTCAAGAAAATTGTCAACCTCTTTCACGAATTGCTCTACCACTTTAGTTATCTGGTCTACCAAATCCGAAACTTGGTCGACCTGATGACACACTTACCTTTAAGTGGTCGATCTCTTACACCAATTGGTCTACCACTTGTGGTGACATCTTCCACCAACTGGTAAACCACTTTTCAAGAAAATGGTTTACCACTTTCATCAAGTCGTCTACCCCTTGAGGCAACCGTTCTACCGCTTCTGGCAATAGGTTGACCTGTGACTCACTTACCTTTAACTTACACCTGTTTGTTGGAGAAGTTAGACCGCTTCGCCAAAATAGCCTACCGATTTCAGAAAATTATTTACATACCTATTTCGGCGAACGATCTCCGCTTTCAGCGAACATACGATCAGATGACACAATTACCTTTTACTTACATTAGCAAAAATAATGAATAATAGGTGACCAACAATATAATTTTTTTTTTTTGTAGTAATGCATTATCCTATCACATGTGGGCAACGAAATGCCTACACAGATTATAGGCCAAGACAAAAAGAAACACCCTCTTTTAACTCTTCTGGAATAAAAATCCACAAAATCGATGATATGAGATTTATGAACGTTGAAAATGACACAATTGTATTACAAAAACTATAATAAACCAATCGATGTAAACTACAATAAACCACTTTTAGTAAAAGCGTAAAAGAACACCCATTTAGTGAACTAGAAGCTTAAAAGTGTAAGCTTTTAAGCTTTAAAGCGAAATTTATACACTAAAGATTTTATATGGAAACGAAAGCGTTTTGGTGACTTAGAAGCGTAAAACCGTAAGCATTTAAAATTTAAAAGGCCATTTAGATTGCATTGATCTCAATAACTCGAGTTGTTGTAAGAGGTCAATGTATGATACTTCACCACTATTTTTTTTTATAAAATGATATAGGTTTACTTTTTGTGGTTTACATACTATTTAAGATATTCGATCATGAGATCTACATGTTCAAAATTAGTACTTCCTTACATAAACCATATTGGGAATTCTGTTTCATATTCGAGCTAGTGATGGATACTTTAAAATATAACCACTAGATCAAGTTCATTTCTCTAAAACATGCATCATTCATTACCTAATCAGTTGGTACGTAGTTGGTACTTTGCATAGAATCTAATCTGTGTTTTCTCTACATATAACTGTCACCAATTATCTATTTTCGTTACGAGGCCGTTTTCTTGGCAGCTAGGTAGTGATGGGTAGTTTAAGATAGAACCAATAGATCGATTCCATTTCTCTAAAACATCATTCATTAACCATTACCTTCTGCTAATGAACCTTTGTTCACCAAACCGTTTGTTTGATTTGATTAATTTTCTCGGCCGGCTGCTTTTATTTGTCTATTCTGCTTGGATCTAACTGCCACCAGTTGTCTGTTTTCATTACAATGCCATTTTCTTTCCATACCACCTAGAAGCTAGTGTAAATAACCGGAACTGATTCGAAAATGAAATCGGAAACGACACACATCGTCGGATACAACATACATGTAGTATATATAGGTTTCATACCCGAAACCCTAACTTGCTAGCCTAACTCCTATACGTACATGGACAATAAATATATATGTACATGGGCCGCCCACTGCGGTGGGCTTCTATAATTCAACAACCTCTCCCGAATTGAAGGAGGTCTCTCATCGTCAATTTGAAAGAGAGATACCAATGTCATCCCGCAGTGAAGGCCTTCATCAGGAGGTCTGCAATCTAATCCTCGGACAAAACATAACGAATCTGATGAAGTGCCATTACGAACCATATCTCCAATATAGTGAACATGAACCTCAATGTGTTTGGTTCGATCATGCATAACCGGATTATTAGCAGTCTTAACGGCACCGATATTGTCCACGTACAATTGCATATATAGGAAGCTCACAAGTAGGATAAAGACCGGATAAGAGAGCTCAACACCAAAAACTTAAGGGTAATTTGCATAAACGGTCGCAAACCTTTGCACTTAGTACAAAACTTAACCAACTCCTCACCCTTTCAGGCCTTAGGCCACTCAAATCCCCACAAGTTTAATATAAAATCAAGACCGAATTGGGACCGGACTGGGTCAAGACCGAATTGTATCCAATCCAATCTTTGATACTTATACTTTCAAAAAGACCGAACTGGACCGGATCAATTTGGGTCAATTTAACTAGACCGGACCGTATAGCCACATGTAGGAACAGCAATCCGGGTTTCTATCAATTGCCACACAAGCCGCGATTTTCATGAGATTACAATCTGTTTCCTGATCTGTCCTGTCCAATTCTTCTTCTCCCCGTGAGGTTTCAGTACTTCCCAAACCAATATAACTCTGTATTTTGGCATATGTACCCCATTCCATACCACTCCCTCATGAGTTTTAACTAACAAGTGCACTGCTTAACTTCTTATTTTTCAACAGTTCATTCCTTGTCACACAAATATTAAGGTTCTAAAGTCGATATTCCTTTAAGCAAGCAATCCACAATGTCTCCTAATCTGAAAGGATGTTCTGTTCTACCAAAAAAAAGGAAGTTCTACAAATGCCTGACCAAACATGCTTGATTCCATGAACGTAAATCCTTAAACCCCAGTCATACCTCCTCTTTTGGCAATGCTATAATCTACCAAGTAACTTTTGCCTTCCTCTTCTCAATATCTCGTAGAAAGTAAGAGCAAGCCTTCTCTATTGCAGCTATAACTTTTTTTGGCAAATGAAACACAACCGTCCAGTACTGCACCATACTAGCTAGTACAGAGATTGTCAATCCTAACTTTCCTGCATAAGCGAGCATTTTCGGGTGGCAGGCACCCTTTTATCCTTTTAGTAGTCTTGTTCACAAGAGCTTGACATTCAGCAGAATTTAACTTGCTTGCTATCCAAGGCACCCTTTTTTTCTAATCAGTATAGGTAGTACCTCTTTAAGTATACTAGTAATTACCTTAGAGATACATTTGTAAACAAAATTACATCAGGATATAGGTCTATACTGTTTCATAGATTCTACATTTGGAATTTTAGGTATCAGGTGAGTATTGTGTGTTGTTTTCCTCTTTTAACAGCTTGTCAGGCTGGACAAACTCCTTGATTGCAGTGGTAACGTCCTCTTCAACCAGTACCCCAATTAAGTGTTTTGAAAATATTCGTCTCAGAAGCCATCTGACCCTGGGGCTTTCTCCCTTGTCATACCAAATATCACAACTCTTATCTCCTCACTTATAACTGGATAATCAACATCTTCCGTTAAATGATTTACCAACAGTCTTCTCAACAAGCTAACTGGAACCCTTTCAACTCCTTATTCTCTGTTCCCAACAAATTTTCAAAGAATGCCACTGCCTCCTGACCAATTTCCTCGACATCAATTATTCTCCGACCATCCTCAGTAACTAACTGCTTTATTGCATTCCTCTGATTCCTAAACTTAACAACACCGTGAACAAAAATTTTGTTAGAATCTTCACTTGAAATCCACATCTTCCTTGATTTCTGCCTCCTCAACTTTGTGTAGCTCAATTGGGTGGATCATACACCCCTTCTCAATAACAAAAGATTCAGGAGCAGGGCACGCCAAAGCCTGTAATTGAGCTACATCGAGCTCCGTCTTTGCAATTCTAACCCTTTCATGGATGTCAAAGTAGTACACTCTATTGAAATTCCTTAACTTTGCTTTTTGAACTTCTTAAACTTCTAATAGTTTTTCAGTCAAACATTTAATTGTTTTTTAAATAATTTTCTAAAAGCTCCAACCAGAACCTGTTTTTGAAAAATCTACCGCATGGCCAAACTAACCCTATGATCTAACTTAGTCCTATGGTTCTGTAGGTGAAAATGAGACATCACTTGGATGTTGGACGGGATGAGGGAGATATGGCTCAAGTGTTTAAAAACGAAAAAACCAATTATAACAATCACAACTTCCAAACTATAATGCATGCATAATTACAGTCTTAATTAAAATACCACAAATATGCAAGGGCAATTTGCAACTTCCCCAAGTAGGAGTATTGGTCTATGCCTCTTCACCACTTAAAGCAACCAAACATATTATGGCTAATTTGAATCAACCTCCTTGGCAACCAAGTACAAAGGGTTTTTTCTCCTCATAGTGGCTCCAAACGACTCTTCCATGTTAAACTTCTCAGCGATTAGCCCTCCTGGAAGCTCCCAGTCAAAATAGTAGAGTAACTGAGCTAGAGGAAGCTCCACATTGGCCATTCCGAGTGCTATTCCAGGGCATATCCTTCTTCCAGCTCTGAATGGGAGCAACTCGAAATGCATACCTTTAAAATCGATCTCGCTTCCATCGAATCTCTCGGGAATGAAATGCTCGGGTTCCTCCCACGCACCGGGATCCCTCCCGATCGCCCACGCATTCACAATCACCTTGGTTTTCTTCGCTATCTCGTATCCGGCAATCTCACACCTCTCTTTGCTTTCTCTCGGAAACAACAGTGGTATCGGTGGGTGTAACCTGAAGGTTTCTTTGATTGCCAAGTCCAGGTATGGCAAGTTTTGAATGTCTGCTTCTGTGACGATTGATTTTCCTTTCATGGCTTCGCGCACCTCGGGTTGAGCCTTTCTCATCACTATTGGATTTTTCATCATTTCAGACATCGCCCATTCCATGGTTATCGATGAAGTGTCCGTCCCAGCTATAAACAGATCCTATCAAACCCAATCGAGTGAGTGTTTCGGAACCGTTAGATATCATCAAGAAGAAGAAGAAGTTAAAAAGAAAAAAGAATCATATATATAATAATTAATTACCACAAGCACAGCTTTGATGTTGGTGCTAGTGATGGGACACTTAAAAGCCACCAGTCCCCTGAAGCCTGAGAAGAACGTCCATGAAATCTTCATCATCCGATTCCACATCACTGCCACCGTTGACTCTCTTTTCCTGGTGCTGCTTAATGATCTTAGCGAAGATCAGATCCAGCCCATTTCGGGTCCTGAGGAGCTCCGATTTCATCCCTGTGAGATCCTGGAGAAATCCCAGAGAAGGGTACAAATCGCCGACGTTAAAACCGCTAGCCGCTTTGACCGCCGAGTTCACCAGCCCCACGAACTCATCCTCGTCCACACACTGGTACCCGAACGCGGCCTTCGTGGTGATCCTATTGGTAAGATTGAGCAGCTTCTCCGTGATATTCACCGGCTTCCCGGCACAATTCCTGAGAGATTGGATGAAGCCCGAAACCTCTGTTTCTCGAATCCCGCGAAACGACAACGTTTTCCGGGGACCGAGAAGCTCCGTCAGTGAAATCCGCTTCATTTGCTTCCAGTACTCGCCGTGAGGGGAGAAGGCGATGTCCAGGCTCCCCCACGTGGCGATCTCGGCGGCGAGAAGCCGGAGTCGGTCCGCGAAGTTCAGGTCCTGGGTCTTCAGGATTTCTTGGGCCATCGCCGGAGTCGAGACCACGACGGCCGAGATTTCTCCTAGCTGGAGGTGCATGAGGGGGCCGTACTGGGAGGCGAGGTTTCGGAGTGCTGGGTGCGGCAGCGCGCCGATTAGGTTATGCAAGTTTCCAATCAAGGGAAGCCTTGCTGGGCCTGGAATTAGCTGCTTTTTGGTGGGGATGATTTGGGATTGGGATTGGGATTGGGTTCTGTGGCAGCAGATTCTGGTGGGAATGCGGTGGAGGAGGAGGGTATTACCCAGAAATGGCGTTAGAAATAATTAGGGATTTGGAAGATGGAAAGATGAAGGAAGAGAACGAGGAATTCAATAGAACAAGCCTCGTTTGATTTCTTCAGATATAACCGACTCAGTCTTTCCGAGATGGGCTGAGCCAACTAAAGCCCACACGAGTAAATAAAAGACTGAGACAGAAAGAAGAAAAGCCCACTATGAAATTAAGCCCAAAGGACCTAACTTAGTGATCATCTTCTTCCTTGTTCCACAGAACTCGAATAACAGAAAGACTGAAGAAACAGCTAAGAACAGGGGAAGAGAAAACAGAGTAACAGCGGAAAAGAAGAACACAAGCGATTTTAACGAGGTTCCCCAATCTACTGGGTCAGTCCTCGTCCTAGACTCAGTACTTCACTGAGTTCTAGGAGACTCTGTTTTGTTATTGATTTTTTCCTATCAAGCAAGAAGAACAAAGACAAACAGACTCAAGAACAACGAAAATGAAAGACAGAAGTAACAGCTCCCCGGATCCCAAATTCCAGACCCGTTACACAGTTAATCAGACAGACCCTATACCTCTGATCTGATTAACCCTCTTAAGTAAAAAGCCCTATCCCACCAATTACAAAAGATAATCAAACCATGGTGATGACGAGAGTATAAATAGCTTGCTAGAAGACCGTTGCACTTGAAAAGGAGAGGAAAAGGAAAGTCCTTGATGAAATCCCTCTGATTCCGCAATTTCCATCTTTCCTTCTTTCAACAATCTCCCCCTAAGATGGAAATTGCAAGTTGCTGATGATTCCTGCAAAAAGAACAGACAAGCTCCTTTCCAAACAACAAGCAGCAAATAACCAAGCATCATACGATTATCCAAAACATTCAAAAGTCAAGACCACAGCCTGGTCAGGCAAACCATCACCACAAAACAATCAAGTTTTAAACCATCCAAAATTCAGAACCACAGCCTGGTCAGGCAAACCAATCAAAAAGCACGAACGGCCTACTCTCTTCTAACAGCTGCTCCCCCTAAGATCTGCTCCCCCTAAGATCAAGCTGCATCGTCGTCAGTATCCGATCCATAGAGGGCTTGGAGAGCTGCTGCAAACGGTGCGAGCTCAGGAGCATCATCACCATTAGTACTAGGAGCAGAATCCTCAGAGTCGGAGTCACTACTGATCACCAGGATGTCATCATCACCATTCTCCCCCGCAATTGCTATTTCCAGAAGATCCATGACGCCATCAGCAGTGAGGAAAACCGAGGGAGTGATCACCCGGAACGGATTGAGATTGACATGGAGTCGAGAGAGCAGGGTGGTAATGAGAGGCCCAAAAGGAAGTGGAGAGGTGATGTTAACATCACAGAAAGAGAGAGCTGAACCGAAAAAGAGATCGGCAAAGCTGAGCGGAATTCCGTGAGCAGCGTGCACAAGAATCCATAGCTCCACAGGAGTGATCAATTGCAGATCACCAGAGCGGGGCAAGAAAACACGAGAGATAAAGAAGTGCAGGGCACGAAGAGAGGGCAAAAGAGCTGACACAGGCATTGAAAGATTTGGACCAGGAAGACGACCTGAAAGCTGGAGGAATTCCTCAGATATGTCAAAATTAAAAAGCGCCAGCTCAGACTCATCAGCAAGATTTTCCCCTATAGCAGGAATATGAAGAACGTGCTCGATTTCAGCCACAGGAATAGTGAGAAGCTGACCAAAAACCAGAGTGGTTAAAAACCGAGAACTCAGATGAGTAAAACGAAGATTGGAATAGAAAAACCGAACAGCATCAGGGAAAATAACAGTAGAAAAAGGCTGGTTCAGTAAGAAATTCCAACCCAGGTTCTGAATAAAAGGGCGGACATCAAGTCCCACCTCAACCAGGTCAGGAATTTGAACATGATAGGAGGGAAGAACCTGACGGTTTGCAAAGAATAATTCATGGCGATGGGCATTGGCAGGGATTGGGTCTAGGAACAGAGTACCAGTAAAAGTACGCAGAAAGGAAGGAGCCATGACTAACAGCAAAGAAAGGACAAAAAGAAAACTCACGAAGGGAATATGAAGAGAAGAGAAGTAAACAAGCGCCTATAAATAGCAGGAATGCTAACCCTAACACGAGATAACTACAGAACTTACCAAAACAAAGAGAACAAATTAAGGCAAATCAACCATAAAGACAAAATAAATAAAGGAAAGCCGAATCAAAGAAGCAAAACACAAAAGGCAAAGAAATCGCAAAAAAATAAACTCACAAAAGGAAGGCAGAATTAAGGATTGAGATCCTTAATCGTCTCACACAGAGAAGACAAGGAGCGCAAGCCAATATCATAACTCAGAAAATTGAACCGATCAGCAGACAAAGGCTTGGTGAACAAGTCAGCAAGTTGATAATCAGTGGAAATATATGAAATGTTTATAGTTCCTGCATGAACTAAATCTCTGATAAAATGGAATTTGATGTCTATATGCTTAGTACGAGAGTGCTGGACAGGATTCTTACTCATGCATATAGCACTAGTGTTGTCACAAAAAAGAGGAATAGAAGGCACACACACACCATAATCTGAGAGTTGAGTTTTAAGCCAAAGCAACTGTGCACAAGAACTACCAGCAGCTAGGTATTCAGCCTCAGTAGTGGATAGTGCAACAGCGCCCTGTTTTTTACAAAACCATGACACTAGAGAAGTGCCAACAAACTGACAACTCCCAGAAGTGCTTTTACGATCTGTTAAACTACCAGCAAAGTCAGCATCTGAATAACCTACCAGATCAAAATGATCTTGTTTAGCATACCAGAGTCCCACATCAATAGTACCTTTCAAATACCGAAAGATACGCTTAACAGCGGTGAGATGGCTTTGCTTAGGTTGAGATTGAAAGCGGGCACACAAACAAACAGCATATTGAATATCAGGACGACTGGCTGTAAGATATAAAAGTGAACCAATCATGCCCCTATACAAAGACTCATCAACTGGTATTCCAGGCTCATCTTTGTCCAACTTAACATTGGTTGCCATAGGGGTGGGACTCGTATTAACAGTAGTCATTTGAAACTTACTAAGCATGGTAGAAACATATTTGGATTGATGAATAAAAATCCCTGATGAGGTCTGCTTAATTTGCAATCCAAGAAAAAATTTCAGTTCACCCATTAAACTCATCTCAAAAACACTTTGCATAGATTCACAAAAAGTTGAGCAGAGATCAGAGTTTGTGGAGCCAAAAACTATATCGTCAACATAGATTTGGACGATAAGAAAATCTGAGGACACATGTTTTATGAAGAGCGTTTTGTCAACTGACCCTTGAGTAAAACCTTGATCACGAAGAAAAGCAGTAAGACGATCATACCAAGCACGAGGTGCTTGTTTCAGTCCATAAAGCGCTTTATTAAGTTTAAAGACGTGATCAGGAAAGTTAGGATCGACAAAACCAGGAGGTTGAGCAACATATACGTCTTCCTCAATAATACCGTTTAAAAACGCACTCTTAACATCCATTTGAAATAGAGGAAAACCCATATATGCAGCATAAGCACATAGAAGTCTAATTGACTCAAGACGTGCAACAGGTGCAAATGTCTCGTCATAGTCAATACCTTCCTCTTGGGAATAACCCTGAGCAACCAATCTAGCCTTATTTCGAACAATGACACCTACTTCATCAGTCTTGTTCCGAAACACCCATTTAGTGCCAATAACAGTAATATTTAAAGGCCTAGGAACCAGATCCCACACATGCAAATATTCAAACTGGGTAAGTTCCTCAACCATAGCTAATGACCAAGCATCATCTTGTAAAGCAATTTTATAAGACTTGGGTTCAACTTGAGACACATAAGCATATTGGCCTGGTATATACTTACCTCGAGTCTTGAGGCCATCTGTAATATCACCAATGACTTGATCCACTGGATGTCGTTTCTGAATATGCAAGGGAGCAGTAGGAACATTTGCTGGTGAATCAGTATTAGAAGAACCAGCTTGCAGTGGAGAAGATGACGAATCAGAAGTGCTGTCCCTGAGATCAGGTTGCTCACGACAGAAAGATTCAATGGATCTAGGAAACAACTCAGATAGATCAAATGATAAAGAAGGAGTAGAGGTATTGTCATTAGGAGTAATGTCATTAAACCGAACATTGACAGACTCCTCTACTTTTTGAGTACGAGTATTATAGACTCGAAAAGCTTGGCCCTTGACTGAATAACCAAGAAAAATGCCCTTATCGGATTTTGAATCAAATTTTCCTAATTGATCTCGAGTATTCAGAATAAAGCAAGGACAACCAAACGGATGGAAGTAGGAAATAGATGGAGATTTGTTCTTAAAGAGCTCATAAGGAGTTTTATGCAGAGTTTTACGAACTAAAGCACGATTTATCACATAACACGCTGTGCTAACAGCTTCAGCCCAAAAGTACTTAGGCAAATTGTACTCTAAAAGCAAGGTTCTTGCACATTCGATTAGAGTCCTATTTTTTCTCTCAACAACCCCATTTTGTTGAGGGGTGCGAGGTGCTGAAAAAATATGAGAGATCCCAGCCTCATTGCAGAAGATCTCGAAATCATCTACAATGAACTCACCCCTGTTATCACTCTTAATCGTTTTAATTTTACCAGAATGTAACAAAGCAAAAGTTTTGAATTTGGCAAAAGTTTCAGCTTTGTGCGCAAGGAAAAACACCCAAGTATACCTGGAATAATCATCGACAATGACAAAAACGTAGTTTTTTCCACCAAGACTAGTGACATTACATGGACCAAACAAGTCCATATGCAGCAGCTCAAACACAGCTGTAGTTGTAATGTCTGGTTTGGTCTTGAAAGATTTACGAGTTTGCTTGCCAGAGACACAAGTTTCACAGAAGAAATTAGCCTTTTCTTTAAGAAGAGGAATTCCTCTTACTAAATTCAATTTAGACAGCAGGGCTAATTTGGATAAACTAATATGGCCTAGCTTTCTGTGCCAGAGCAACTCCTGTTGGAAAGAAGCAACAAAGCAAAATTCATTGAATG